GTAATGTAATGTAATGTAATGTAATGTAATGTAATGTAATGTAATGTCAGTCAGCATCTGTAATGTCAGTCAGTCAGCATCCGTGCTGCAACTGTTCTGTCCCTGGCCCCATGTTGGATGCTAGGAGTCACTCTAGAGGAATAATTCACACCACCAGTTCCCCAGACTCACAGAGTTAGGGGGAGCTGAGCAAGCATTCAGTACTGAGTATGGTAACGGCTGTGATGGAGGGAAGCATGGGCATTGTGGGGAAGTTAGAGAAGGAGTCACAGGTCCATTTGGAATGCTTCCTGGAGGAGGTGGCGTGAGCTGAGTTTTCCAGATGGGGGTGGGAGCAGAGAGAGGAGGAAGGGCATTCTAGGCAGAAGAAGCTAACTCTGTAAGGGCCCAAAGGGGAACGAGGGAAAGCAGCAGCCTGGGGCTGGAGGGAAGGGACACAAGCGATGAATGGATTTGTATTTTCCACCCATGCAACTTCTGGGGGAAAAAACAGTAACTAAGCCTCCATTTTTGAAGCTTGGAAAGTCCCCGGGGAGGAGTCTTTGAACAGGGATGAGAAGAAGTGACTTTTGACCACAGTAAAGCACTGGAGCAAATGATCCTTTCTCCACTAGGCTGCCGCACTGGACCTTGGTCCCGCCAGGACAGCCATGCTCGCAGCTGCATCCAGCGGCCCATGCTAGGCTGTTGTTGGATCCACCTAAAAATAGGAAGGCAGGGAGCCTCACGCCAAGCAGACGGCAGGAGAGCAGCCCAGGCGGGCCAGGGAGGAGCGCAAACATCCCCCCCTCCTAGGAAACATACTCATTACATTCTGAGCAAAGGCGGTTCACAATGCATCCTGGAGAAAATATGCAGTTATTGCCCCCAAACATGCCAAAGCTCGACTAATGACTGCACGCCTGCTCCAAAGGCTTAAACTATTCCAGATGCTGCTTCTTGCCTCTGGGAGACTGCTTCTTTCTCCCAGCCTGAGGTTCTGGACTCTTCCTTGGGTTCTAGTCCTCTGGGAGACATACAGTTGGCTGAGGGTCTTGGGGTAAGTGATCGCCCTCTCTGGGTCTCCTAGGGGCAATCTACAGGATCTTTGCCTTAACCGACTGTTGTGGAGACTATGCCTACCTGCCTGATGGGGCTGTGGGGGAGGGTGCCAGGTGGGAAGCCCGGAGCCAGGGCTCTAGGCGATTTGGGGTGAGGCGAGGGGTTCTGAACTTGAGTGTGTTCAGTTTCTGCATCTATCAAATGGTGATAATCCGTAGGGAAGCAGTAATTAGAAGACTCAAATCTCCAAGCACACTCAGGGATGGCTACCACCGGACAGCACCGAAGCTTGGACTTGTGTTCCGGCTGAGTGACCCGGGGGAGTTCCCTCCCCCTCTGTGAGCCTCCCTTCCGTCATCTGTGAACTGGGGATGGCTGCTGGTTAAATAACTCATGCATGCTTATTGTCTATTTTTTTAAAATTTAATCAACCCATTTGAGCAGGTGATACACTCACGTGATTCCAAGTTCAAAAGATGCAAATGGCACAGAGTTAGTCTCCCTCTCACTCCTGCTCCATAACTACACCGTTTTCTTCCACTGAGGCAGCCACTGCTATTGGTTTCTGGTGTATTAAATATGGATAAATTAAAAGGATTTTTATTGCAGTACGCACACACACACACACACACGCAGCCAAGTGACCGTCTCAAAAACACAATTCAGTGAATAATGAGCATACTTCTAATTCTCAAAAAGAAAAAAGGAAAAATCACCTGAGACTCATCACCTAAAGATAAAATTGTTGATATTTTGGTGTATTTTCTTCCTGTTCCTTTTCTATGTGTGTATATACATACACATTGGAACCATGCCATGTAACTTCTGTACCCTGGTTTGTCGTTGTTGTTGTTTTGTTTTTGTTTTTTTAGAGAGAGAGAGAAAGCATGAGCGGGGGGTGGGCGGGGAAGGTCAGAGGGAGAGAGAGGCAATCTTAAGCAGGCTCCACACTCAGCACAGAGCCTGATGCGGGGCTCTCGGATGCTCAACCGACTGAGCCACCCAGGCACGCCATACCCTGTTTCATGTATTTAACACATATCATGAACGCTTCTTCAGGTCACTAAAAATTCCTCAAAATTGGTCTTTCAATGTTTGCCTAATGTTTCAAGGAATGGACCCTACTTTTTACTGTAGAACATCAGGTTCAATTTCCCGTATTACAAATGACAGTCATGAGCACCCTTGAGCACGCATGGTGCAGCACATTCCTCTGGATGAACTCCTAGCAGGGGAATCACTGAGTCACACAGTATGAACTATAGCACTATAGCTCAGGAGAAAGTGTGCAGGGTTGGCCCGATGCACAGAACTGCTGTGCTAGAGGTGTTCTGTAAGGCTCTGGCCTTGTGCTGGGCATAGACACGGGGCTCCATGGTGAAGCCAAGTGGCTGCATAGAAAGAACAGGTAAATGCTTGCTCCTCCTCTCCCTAGAGCTCTACGCTCTAGGCCCTCCCTCCCTGGGGTCGTCTTCTTCTTTTTAAAATTTTTTTAAATGTTTATTTATTTTTGAGAAAGAGAGTGGGAGAGAAAGCGTGAGCGGGGCAGGGACAGAGAGAAGGAGACACAGAATCTGACGCAGGCTCCAGGCTCTGAGCTGTCAGCACAGAGCCCGACGTGGGGCTCGAACTCACAAACCGAGAGATTGTGACCTGAGCCAGAGTTGGACGCTTAACCGACTGAGCCACCCAGGTGCCATCCCCACTTTTTTTTTTTTACAAAATTTTTAATTTTATTTATTTTGGGGGGGAGGGGCAGAGAGAGATGGAGTCTTCTGACAGCCACAAAAAAGGGGCTGTGTCTAATCTGAGCTTTATCATTCTAGTCATTGGAGACTTGTCAAGTGAATGTTTAACAGCTGGCTTTCTGGGGGAGGGAGGTGGCAGTAGGTTCTGATTGGTAGCACTGGCCCATTTCCATGGTGTAAAACCTCCCACTGTGACCATTGTCAAACTGCCAACATGTCATCGAAAGCAGTGTTGGGATGAGATGCACCTAATCTCATAGGCTGTCTGGAGCTGACTTGTCCTTCCATCTGTCCAAGTTGCCCTCTTGCCCCTCTTCTTCCTCTTCCCCATTCATCCCCCAACCTGAGGATCATCCAGAGTGATAGGGATTGAATATTTTTGGGGGGGAGGTGGGTGTTGCTAAAGAATGAGAACATCCTGAAGAAGGAGAAACTGAGACTTCAGGAGGTCCAGATGATTGTCCCAGGGCACCCAGCCAGATGATGTTTCACAGGGTGTCAGTCCCTGCTCCGTGCTTGGGACACTTCTCAGATGGGAGCCCATGCTTCCTACTACAGAAATACACTGCCTTTTCTAACATTCCTCTCCCTCTTTGGTGACTCTGGCACTGGATCCACAAGAGTATGAGTCCCAAGCTTTGCCCTTCAGGAGCTGAGAGCCAAGTGGGGAGGCAGAGACACATGGGAGGTTTATGCAAGGCAGGGGGTGAGTGCCTTACAGGAGCTCCCCTGTTCAATTGACTCCAGTCTGGGCTTCCCTTCTTCTCTCTTCTCCCCTTGTAACAGACATTGTTGAGGGCTCCAATTCCTCCTTCCTGAGGGAACCCGGTTTTTCTGTATCTACTCTCATGCAGCAGCCCGTTTTGTGGGCAAGTGACCCATCCTCAGTTCTGGGAGTGGGTAAGGTCTGATTAGTCTTGATCAAACCTGTAATTTATTTTTCCTTGCCAGAGATTGTTTAGGAATGGGAGGTGATCCAATTCTGGCCAATGAGAGCTGAGGAGACACAGCCCGGGTGGTGAGACAACCTCTCTTCTTCTGGATACTTGGAACTCAGTGTTGTAGTTTGGGTGTTGTAATTGCCCTGTCGCCAGGCTGAAGATGAAGCCGACCCATGAGGGACAGCAGAGCCAAGAGAATTACAGAAAAGGGGAGCCAGAGCCCTAACTGCAGCCTGCCTCTGACCTTCTTGTGAGGGAAAAAATATATAGATATATTTCCTTCCAGCCTAAATCATTTTGAGTTGAGGTTTTCTGTTACATGAAGCCAAAAACATCCTAAATGATAAAACACTTCCAGTCCATCATCTGCATTACAAAGGTACTGGTTATTATACAACAGGGATCTTATCATACCACTTCCTGACTCTAGTTTTTCAATGGCTTCTGTAGAAAGTTAGGATAAGGGAGCCTGGGTGGCTCAGTTGGTTAAGCGTCCAACTCTTGATTTCAGCTCAGGTCATGATCTCACGGTTCACCAAGACTGAGCTCTGCATTGGGCTCCGCACTGACAGTGTGGAGCCTGCCTGGGACTCTCTCTCTCTTTCTCTCTCTCTCTCTTTCTCTCTCTCTCTGACCCTCCCCTGCTTGTGCTCTGTCTCTCGAAATAAATAAATAAACGTGAAAAAAAGGAAGTTAGGATAAAATCTTTGTTCAGTGTCTCCTTTCCCTGCATAACGCCCACCTACCTCCCAGAAAATGTCAGCCCCTGCGGGTGGCACACTTGGTCTTCATCTCTGGCTCCCTAGTGCCTGGCGTAGAGTCTGTTGCAAGGCAGGTACTTAATAAATACTGTTGAATAAGTGCAGAGGAGAGGAGCTAGGGCTGGGGGGTGGTCAGAGTTCTAGGCTTCATTTTTGGCTTTGCGCTTATTTTGGGACTTTGGGTGCATCTCTCTCCTGTCTGGACCTCAATATCCAAAACTGTAAAGAAGGCATATCAGACTAAAGCAGTAGCTTAAGAGTGGGGTTTAGGGGAGCCTGGGTGGCTCAGTCAGTTAAATGTCCGTTGTCGGCCCAGGTCATGATCTCACGGTTTGTGAGTTCAAGCCCCACGTCGGGCTCTGTGCTGACAGCTCAGAGCCTGGAGCCTGCTTTGGATTCTGTGTCTCCCTCTCTCTCTGCCCCTTCCCCACTCATACTCTCTGTCTCTTTCTCTCCCAAAAATAAATAAACATAAAAAAAATTTTTTTTAAAAAGAGTGGGCTTTAAAACTACCCCTCAGTGACTCCATATAATAGCAGTTGTGCTTTTAGTGTCCACTGATGCAAAGCTTTATTTTAAAAAATTTTCTTAATGTTTATTTATTTTTTTTACAGACAGAGACAGACAGAGTGCAAGCAGGGGAGGGGCGGAGAGAGAGATGGAGACACAGAATCCAGAGCAGGCTGGGCTATCAGCACAGAGCCAGATGCAGGGATCGAACTCATGAGCTGAGTTGTGACATCATGACCTTAGCCCAAGTCAGAAGCTCAACCAACTGAGTCACCCAGGCGCTCCGTAAAGCTTTACAATGTGGGTACTTGTCTGTCACAGCAGCATCCATGTCCATTCGAAAAGCCTTCATACTTGTGTGTAAGACACACCGTCTATCCTCCTTACAGACAGCACCGAGTGCCATGTGGTTTCCAGATGCCTTACTTGAGCTAAGGGGCCCACAGGCTGGGAACCCTGGCCTGGACCATCACAGAGTTCTTCAGGCACTAGGGGCTTATGTGTCTGGCAGGGGCCACAGCAGTTATAGCTCTTGCTCAGGGTCACACAGCAATTAGTGGTGGATTCAAACTCACTCTTCTCCGGCCTGGGTTCCTTTGGCTCAGTCAGTCTGGCTGATAGCACCAGTCCCCCTCAGCTTCCCTGGAAACGAGAAGCAGGGAGGCCAGTGAGCCCTGAGATTGCCTAGGGTGGGGGGACGAGGTAGATGGCAAAACACACAACGCTGACAGCCCAAAATGACAGGAAACATACTTCAGATGCCGGGGGTGTGGTTTAGGAGCGGCTGGAATTACACCCTCAGGGCTGAGCCAACATTGTCTGAGTCTGAGCCTGAACCGGGTCTGGACCCTGCGGAGGCAGGGACAGCGTGGGGGGTCTCGGCCCAGGGCTGCGGAGCTGAGCAGAGAGACAGTGAAGGCAGGAGGCGGATTCCCAGCTGGCAACCAGGCTCGGGGAACTTTTGCCTTTCCAGACACGTGCACTCATTTGTTGATTTGTTCATTCATAATTCATTCATTCATTCATTCATTCATTCACCTAGGTAGTAGTCACTCAACAAGGCTCACTGAGCTGTGCTGCCTGCAGCCTGGCATAGGGTCCGAGGAGGAACTGGGCACAGAGGGAGGTAGACACACAGCGTGTACTCAAGTCTCTCTGGGTAGGGTCAGCCGGAGGCGCCAGCCGGCCCTCTCCCTGGGGAAGGGAGTGGAGGGGGGAGTTGGGAAATGTGTTCTAGCGGAAAGTGCCTAATGCGAGTGGTACTCAAAGGACAAGGAAGAATACGCCAGGCAGGTGCCGAGGGGGGTGGGGAGTCTCTCAGAGGAAAAGATGTTAATAAAGGTCTTAGGAGATGGAGGGACTGGTTGGAAAAATAAATGAGACTGTATTTTTACCTAAAAGTGGCAAAGTAGGGGCGCCTGGGTGGCTCAGTCGGTTGAGCGTCCGACTTCAGCTCAGGTCACGATCTCATGGTCTGTGAGTTCGAGCCCCACGTCGGGCTCTGGGCTGATGGCTCAGAGCCTGGAGCCTGCTTCCGATTCTGTCTCCCTCTCTCTCTGACCCTCCCCCGTTCATGCTCTGTCTCTCTCTGTCTCAGAAATAAACTTAAAAAAAAAAATAAAAAAAAAAATAAAAGTGGCAAAGTAGGCTGTGCTCATTGCACTTCCCAAAGCCTCAGAGTAGGAGAGGACCTGGCGCTCGGTGACAGTGGCTCTGTACCGAATGTGTGTGCACTGTGGGCAAGCGGTGGGGCTGCAGGTCAGGCCATGGTTAACATTGTGCTCTGAGTCTCGACGGGAGTCAGTGACGGGAGCCCCTGAAGGTGCTCAAGAAGGGCTGCCTGCAGAGGACGTGTCGCTCTAGCTACTAACTAGAGGCAGAATCGGAGGGGGAGGTCAGGAGAGCAGTCAGGAGGCTACTGCCCTGGGCACTGTGAGAGCTGGTATTGGCCTCAACAAGGATCGGGACAGAGAGACAAGAGCAGAGGACAGATTTGAGGGCAATTTCTGAGAGCTGACAGGTCTGGGTGACTGGAGGTGGTCAGAGAAGGAGAGAAAGGGGCACGTGGTGATGGACGGGATGATGGCCAATTCCTGGACTGTGTGGCATGGCTGTTTAAGCCACTCTCTGAGATGGACGGTGGAGGGTCCCTCTCTGACCTGGTCTGGAGTGAATGGCAACAAGGGGTCTGATGCTCCTCCAGAGCCAGAGCCTTGGTTCACACCTTACTGTCTGCTCAGCCTCCCATCTGGTCTCAGCCTCCAGCCTCTTGCCTCTCTAGTCTCTCTGTGGCCACAATGATCTCCACAAGGGTTGTGACCATGCCACTCCCCCGCTGAAAAACTTCCAAGGGCCACCTGTTGTCTGAAAAGATCTGAGCTCCTAGCCTGGCAAATAAATTCATCTACAATCTGACCCCGTCTACCTTCTCTGTCTCAGTCCTTTGGCACTCTCTACTAGCCACAGTGAACAATCACAGTAACAACAACAATAAGAGCGACAGCAAACAACAGCTGACACACAGCATTGATGTGTGCTAGGCAATGTCCCGAGAACTTTACATATATTCGCTCATGTAATGCTTAGTAGAAAAACATGGCAAGTCTTGGACTTCCCAGAATGGACCATATCCTCTTGCCTTCAGCTCCTCACCTTCAGTTTTCTTGTTCTGGCATCCAGCCATCCTTCCAGCCGTGTGATACGTATTTATAGACCATCGGCTTATGCCAGGCCCTGAACTGAGTGTCTGGGATCCCAATATAAGTAAGATGTGTACCTGTCCTCAATAGGTACAGTCTAATGTGGGAGACGGAAACATAAAGAGTCAAGGTTAAGTGCAAAGTGACAGAGAGAATGAAGGCAGAGAATGAGCCTCAATCCAGCCTGGGGCCTGCCAATCTGGCCCACTGCTGCTTTACCCCCTCCAGGAAGCCTTCCCAACTTTGCCAAGCTGGGCGAGGTCCCTCTTCTGTGCCCCTTCAGTCCCTTCTCTGCCTGCATCACACACTGCCCACCGTGTACGGGAAGTGTCTGTGTGGCTGCCCCCTCCTGAGCACCATGAAGGCAGAGAACAGTCTGACTTATCACTGACACAGCACCTGAGGCAGCCTGGACACAGGTCCTTAGGGTTTGCTGAATAGAAGTGCTTGAAGCATGAAGAGCCACAAAGAGGGGCATCCTCTGCTTGGTTGTTCTCTGGTGCTCTCCCCACAGTCAGGCCTGACTTTATTTCCTTTCCTGAGCCTGGTTCAGGCCCCTCAGCCCAGAGGGCACCCCACAGGGATCAGGCCCTGTCGGTAAGGGTGGGGCTGCTGCTTTCGTTAACTAGTTCAGAAGCAGCCTGGCTAGAAAAGGTCACACCAGAATGGGGGCGCAATATACCCTCGGCCAGATTGGAGGTATCTGGCCCAGGCTCTGAGGAAGGAGCAGTATCCTGGGCAGCTCCAGTCTTGGGGGTAAGAGGGAAGAGGCCCTTCAGCAGCCCTCAGGATCCCTTAGTGGTGGGGGTGCAGGCGGGTGTCTCCTAGAGTTCCTTTGGTTCCTGAGCCCTTTCTGCAGCCTCTGGACTATGGGATCTGCGGATGCTGTGATGAGGGCTTCAGGAATATATGACTCTGGAGTGGTCTTTGGGGGTATTTGAGGAATATTCCAGGTCTGGTGATAGCTCAGGCTGGCCCCTTGGACTCTCATTGGGGTAACACAGCCCTTTCTCCCCAGCGCTCTGGAGTAGCAATCATGGGCTCTCCTAGAGGCACTGTGAATCTTGGGGCAAGGACCTGAAAGGACTCTCCCAGGCAGAGGGGTTGAGAAGCTCCGGCCCCCACCCTCTGCTCCTTGCCTCGAAGCCCATCTTGACTCCTGGTGCCTCTGTAGGGGTGGGGCTGGGGGCAGGGAGCCTTGGGGGCTGATGCTAACAGCTTTGGACAGGGTGGGAATTTCCATTCCTATCTAGGGAGCCATCAACGCTGTGTGCCCTGACCTGGGCCTTTGGCCTCCAAAGGGCAGTGGGAAGGCCGGCCCCAGGGCCAATCCCTGGCCATTAATCCCTCCTGCCAGCCTGAATATCCACCCAGCGTGGTCAGACAAAGGACTGCCCAGCCCAGCCACTGTGTTCCTCCCGCCCCAGGGGCTCCACTCAGACGCTGGGCCGCCTGGAATCCAGGCCCATGAGAAAGGGGCCGCCTTCACTGGCCATCTTATGCCCGGATGCTCAGCCGCATCCCGTCCGGCCCAGGGCCTGTGAAAAGAGGGCCCAGCCACGCTGAAAACACGGATTAGCCCTTGGGCCACCCCCTGACACCGGCCTGCTCGGCTCCGGGAAGCAGGCCCAATGGAGGGGGCCAGGCAGGCACAGAGAACTGGAAAAGTCTGGGTTCTCACCCCTTTGGCCCAGTTCCCTGCCCCCACCCTCCCCATGATTAGCATAGCCAAGTGCACATTCAGTATCATTTACTGAACATATACTATGTTCCAGGCTCTACATGGATTGGAAAATTGAAAGTACAAGAAAATTGCTGTCTGCCATGGGAAGTAATAAAAGTCACTCGCCATAACTGCCTCCCACCTCCCCACACGCGCACACACACACACACAAACCAGATCTGTAGGTGTGAGACAGAGGCTGGGGTAGGGGTCTTCAGAGCGGCCTTAGGCCCTAAGGGAAGGCGGGAGAGATGGTGGCTCTGATTCTGTGCCTGAGTTCAGCTGCAGGATTATGCTGCACCTGAAAAATATGCAGGCTCTGAGATCACTTCTCTGGCTCTGCCTCCCTCCTTCCCTTCCTGGTTTAATACTGGAAATGCCAACTGGGGAGCAGAAAGATGAATCTCCTGTTACCAAGTGCCATTGTGGGCTAAGCACCTTTTCCTACATGACCTCATCTGAATCTCATGACAATGCTGAGAGGGTTCATTACTGCCCCCATTTGGCAGGCGAGGAAACTGAGGCTCAAATGATCACTGGCCCCAGGTGGCTCCTCTCGCCCAGCGAGATTCTCTGCTCCTGCAGTTGCTTGTCTTGTCTTATGTGAGCTGTTCTTTGTGCCTGTACCGTCTTGTGTTCCGTAAGGCCTGGGCTCAGGCAGTAGAGTGCAGTGTAGAGAGGGTACTGAGGGGGAAACTGTGCACATAAACCAGCCTAGCTCCCCATGGTTGTAGGGTTGGGGGGGCGGTCATCTCCAGATCTCTGAGTGTCACCTTCTCCTTCCCCTCTGCTTCTACAGCCCCCCTCTGCCCACCTCTCTCATAGCTGTGTGTCCATCTCCCCACCAGATCGAGAGCCTCTTTGTCTCTGTCTTCCCTGAGCATGGGCAGAGGGCCTGGCACAGAAGTGCTCAGTGAGTGTTGTGGGCTAAACTGAGGCCAGGAGGCCTGAAGGAGGGATGGGTTTGGGGTCCACGAGGAACTGACTGGCACTTGCAGATTGCTGAGATGTGGGGAGTGGCGGGGGAAGGAAGACCCTAAGGTGGTGCTCATTATTTCTGCTCCAGGTGATGAGGGGGCAAGGGCCTGTTTGCTGAGATCTGGAGGGCAGAAAGGGGAGCAGGATGGGGTTGGGGTGCACCGGGTCGAGGTTGATGTCCAGTGGACACTGGAAATGCTGACCTGGAGGTCAGGAGACAGGCTAGGCATCAACTCTGCAGCCAAAGTTGTGAGAGCTGGAAGAACTCCAGAGGAAGTCGTTTCTACAGTTTCAGCTTTAACATATGGTGTTCTTGGACAAGTCCTGATGCTGGTGCCCTGGGCTCTGGGTTTAATTCCAGCCCTGCCACTTACTAGCTGTGTGAAGTTAGGTAGGTCCCTTAACCTCCCAGAGCCCTACTTTCCTTATCTGCAAAGCAGAGATTATGGAACAGTACTGACCTCACCAGGTGTTTGCCCTGAACTGAGATAATGCATGTGACACAGACAAAGGCTTGGTAATGGTGGCTGTTACACCAGATTGGAGCTGGGAGAGTGGGGCCCTCAAGCTTCGAGTTTGGATTTGGAAGCCCTAGACCACAGGCCTGCAGTAGCTAGCTTTGGTCATCTCTACCCCAGGGCACTCCATCCACATTAGGGCCAGAATGCAGATGAGGCATCCAAAGCCACAAATTTAAGAAGGCCCTGGCTCTCAAGTGCCGACCCTGAACTTCCAGCACCCTGAGAGCGAGTGCCCCCTTAAATTTAGGCCTTAGGCACTTCACTTGCCTCACCTACTCCAGCGCTGCTCCAGTGATCTTGCCTCCCCCCCCCCCCCCCCCCCCCGCCCCACCCCCCAGGACAAGCCTCTTTAAGGCAAGGTTTCTGCATTCTTTGGTTCCCTTCAAGCCAGGGCTGGCTGCCCTGTCACTTTGGAAAGATTTCTTGAAAATAGGCTCAGGGTGACATCACCTCTGGATGGTGGTGGTAGGTGGTGTTTCCCAGAGTGAGTTTTTAATAAAAACCACTAAGTCACCCCCATCTCCAATAAGATGTGAGTGTGGCATTTCTGGGTCAGTAAGCACTTTTCTCAGACCTCCAGTCTGTGGAAGCACTTAGGGAGTCTCTCTCTGGCCCAGCAACTGGTCCTTGGAACTTCGGGCTCTGTTGGCCTGTGTTGGTTGTGTTTTGTGCCTCTCTCCAGTGTGCATGCGGGGTGTGTGTGTGTGTGCATGTGGGAGAGAGAAAGAGAGAGGAAGAAGGGAAGGGAACTCTTTCTCTCGAACAGAAGGAGCATGAAGAGGCATCCAGAAAGGCAACTCTTATGTTATGGACTTTCTGGGACCCCTTGATTTAAATTCTTTTTTAATATTTATTTATTTTTGAGAGGGAGAGAGACACACACACGGAGCACGAGCTGGGGAGGGGCTGAGAGAGAGGGAGACACAGAATCCGAAGCAGGCTCCAGGCTCTGAGCTGTCAGCACAGAGCCCTATGCAGGGCTCTAACTCACAAACCATGAGATCATGACCTGGGCTGAAGTCGGAGATCAACTGACTACAGCACCCGGGTGCCCCTGGGGGCCCTTGATTTAAAGCAGCCAGTCCTCTGGCCCCCAAATGTGCTAGCTGGATCACCTTTCAGGATTTTGTTTTTTCAAAGGATGCTCACAAATGTCTTGGACAGGGCAGGGGTGTGCAGGAGGTAGCAGAGAGAGGAGATGGTGACCCTGGAACCACCAGACATCCTCCTCCCAAACAAAGCTGGCCTTCTCTCTCTGCCAACCCCCTCCCCCCCCCCACTCTACCCTTTTAATGTCCAAGACCAGCATGGTGTCAGGACACAGAAGGCTGGCAAGGTGATCCTGGGTGGCTCTCATTTCTGCCCCAGCTGGGGTAGGAAGGACCCAGAGGAGGCTAGGAGAGAATGATGAAGAGGCAGGACCAGGAGGAGCTGATGGGGAAGGGGCCCCAAAGAGCACCGAATGGGTGGATTGGTGATTAGCACTGAGGAGACCCAAAGAGGAGGGGGTCGAGGGACAGGTGGAAAGGGCGACGGGGCCAGGACCAGGACCGCACTGACTCAGTGGACATGGGGAAGGGATGAGGCTGAGTCCAGAAGGACTGACCCAAAGGGACGAGACCAAGGGAAGGGCGACATGTAGGTGGCGGGAGGGGGGGGGGG